CTGCCTCTTGGGACCATTTTAATCAAGGCATGCCCTTTTCTACTGACTGGATTATTTGTTTGCTGGTCAAGATGGTGGGAGCAATGGAGCCACATAGAGGTTGTCTGTAATATCATAACTCCTAACTCAATTTGAGGTGGAACAACTCTCCTGACTTAGAATAATTGGTGTCTGGGACTATCTATGTGGCTAAATGCAAAATAATGAAGGGACAATGTATGTGCCTTTCAATGCCCCAATGTATGTGCCTTTCTTCTTGTTCCCGCCCCCAACCCCCATCCCAGCCTCTGAAATTGATCCCAGGACCTGGGACAGAATCCTTTCCAACTGGAACAGGAGCCGTCTCCATCTCGGGCCAATGCAGAGTTAAATAAGCCATTGTGCCATGTGCTTATGGGTAATTAGGCATGAAAAGAATCAGCAGTCAGCTCCCTCCATTGTTCCTCGCAAGCTGTCCATTTGCAATGTGCCCTGAGCCCCCAGGACTCAGTGCTGGCATCCATACAGAAATATGGATATCATTGCCATGGCAACCATCATGTGCTAAGCAACTTTATGGGCTAATATTATTAAAGGGGCAGGGGTCAAAAGGCAGTAGGGGATCTAAGGGCCTCTGATGCTCAGGCTAAGTATGAAGAGGATAGGGTGGGATTGCCAATTTACAGGAACACAAGGACCTTGCAGAAAGCACAGTGCTGCCCCCTTCTGTTAATGGAGATGGCCATAATTCAAGAGTGCAAAGTTGCCAGGTATCCAGGGTGGTCTTAGGCAAAATGATGAAGTGGATGAAATTTGCCTTCAGTGTCTGCAGCCCCTCCTTTCTGTGTTGTTTTCCTCGTCCAGTGACTTGCTTCACTTCTTAGGAAATTAATGTATTGCACCCCAAGTTTCATTTCCTCAATAAAGAATAGAATATTAGTTGTTTACAATTTAGTATGAATTTGAGTCAATGTGTTTGTTATCTGCTTTAGAGGTATATGCAAATTGACTTATGCCTATTTGTGGCTTCCCTTTTCTCCCTCCCCTCCTCCTCGAAAATGAATTGATGGCTGCTGTAAGCAGGTGGTCTAACTGCCTGCTGGATGTCTTCCTAAATGTTCCACGGGCACTCTCAGACTTAAAATGGCCTCCACCCAACTTATTATCTCTTCCTACCTTCATTTCTTCTCCTGGCTTACTTATTGATATTAATGGCCCTGCTAGCATCCCACCTGCCCAGGCTCAAACCCTAAGAGTCATCTGGACTTGGAGCTATCAGGTCTGGGTCTGGAATCCCAGCTCTATAACTGTGTGACAATACAAGATGGTGTTCTAGGTAGATGTCACTTCATCCTCTGAACCTCAGTTTCCTCACTTGTAAAGTAGAGATAATATTTACAATTGTTTGTCATAAAGGTCAAATAAGATTATATAGGAAAAGCACATTGTAAACTACATATTAAGCATGATGGCAGCATTACCTATGATTCTCCTTGACTTCCTGTTTTCCCTTACCATTCCATATTCTGTCAGTCACAAAGTCTGGTTAAGTCTTCTTTCATACCTTCCACATCCTTTCATTCCTTTCTATTCCCACTGCCATCCCTCTCATCTAGTCCCTGATTACTTCACTTGTGTATCTTAATAGGCTTCCCTGGCACTGGTCTCCTCTCTAATCCATCCGACGTATTGTCACTAGACTGATTTTCCTTAAAAAATCATTTCATTATGTCACTCCTCTCCTCAAAAACCCTTAATGATTGTCCATTGTCTACCAACTATACCAAACTTCTTAGCTTGGCGTTCAAGACCCTCCACCACCATCTGACCCCAATTTACCTTTCCTACCTCAATTTCTACTCTTCCCTTCTAAATGCTTTGCTGTAGCTGGATTCATCTATAATTCATTATCTCTTGAGCATACAATGCATATCACATTTCTATTCCTTTGCCTACATAATTCTTCCCTATTCAGTCTAAATCTTACCCATTCTTCAGGGGCTAAATCCCATCTTCTCCTTAAAACCTTCTATGATCACACCATCCCTCAAAGATCTCTGTTTTTCTCCTTCCTTTTAACACATAACACTTGTCTGTTCTATTCACTAGGAGGTGGAAAGAGCATTAGATGAAGAGTCAGACTCAGGTACCTGGAACCAGACTGGTTCTGATTCTCGCAATATGGCCTTGAGCATGCCACTTTTCTGTGAGGTTCAGTTTGCTATCTGTAAAATAGGAATAAATAAATAAATAGATAGATAAATGAATAAAATAGGAATAATACACTTGTAACCATCTACCTCCCAGAGTTATTTAATGAGAGTGCTTTAAACATTAAAGCATTAGCTGTGATTATTTCTTGTATTATTGTTTAACTTCACATTTATGTATGGTTCAATATAGCTACTTAATAAATATTTGTTGAATGAATGAATATAGCTTCCCAGCTAGATGGTAAGCACCCAAAAGGCAAGGACCATGTGTTTTACATTTCTGTGTAGTGCCATATTGTGTGCATACAGTATACTAAAGCCCAAAATATTTGTTGAATGAATAAATGACATACCACCACTCTTCTGGAGCAGAGGTATCAAATATGAATGCCAAATGCCAACTGCAGCCCTGTCCCAAGCACAGCCCAAAACAGACTAAAATACAACTGGGAAATATTTAACAAAATAAAGAAAAATGCAATATGACATAGATAACATTACATCTTAATATTAAGTCAATATACAGCCCGCAGGGATCCTTACAGATGATTAGTGGCCCCCATTTATATTTGAGTTTGACACTACTGTTGTAGACCAATTTTCCCTATAACAGTTTTACAGATAAAACATCAGACAACATGCTTTGTTGATCCCAGGCAGCAAGCAATGAATTTAGATTTTGGATGGTCCAAAATGCTCAGGGGATGATATCCACATTAAGTAAAAGGGATCGATCAAACTGCAGCTTAGTAACCAGAAAGCAAGGCTATCTAGGGGCTAGAGCATTTGGGTCCATGAAGGCACTGCTGTGCAACCTCAGGTAAGTTTCTCATTTTGGAACTTCTACTTTTTACAACGGGATAAATGTCATCCTTACTCTTCTTACCTCACCTAGTTTTTGCTTTTTGTTTTTCTTAGGATGATTTCTCTTTGGCATGGTCTGATTTCCACGGGTCCATACTTCTATGTCGTGTAAGGATGGACCCATGGAAATCTATGTAGCAAAAATACAAGCATATAGAGAAGAATGCTAAATCTTATTCTTCCCTTGTGTAAAAAGAAACTTAACAATTACCTAGAGGGGAAAAAAAAGAACAAAAACCAAAAACGTTTCGTCTGAACTTGTTTATCCTGCAGTGACATCAATGTGCAAGGAATAGTGGATGTTACAAGGTCCATGGAAAGGGGCAATCTATGACAACAGCTTAGCAGTAGCTCCTGGAAGTATTCTTGACCAGAAGAGGTAGTGAATTTAGTTATACCTTAAACAGAAGTACCTTTCATTAATTCACAGAATCGATGTTAGGGGCTCAGTAGAATTTCTCTTGCATTTATGAGGACTATTTATAAGATTTCTTTTCACGTAGGGCATATGTGTGCATATATATTCAAGTACATGTAAATACAGATGTACATGCACACATTGGTATGTGCACAAGAATGTGAAGCAAAGGCAGGACAACATTTTACAACTTGTGACATAATCAAGAAGGGAAGCACATGTACAAACAACTGGCCTGAGGCAATATTGTACTTTCAAATTTTGCTATTATTTAAAATTAAACATGAGTCTTTTGCTATCCATATCAGGCAGGCTCAGGTTATAGAACCTAGTGAGGGTGTTTGCTCGATTCTCAGGCTCACAAAGGGTATATTCTTCATGTCAGCTCTGCCCAGATTTCAGCACTCTGCTTCCTGGATGCAATGTGTGAAATTGGGGGAAGGCAAGTGTCATGTAAAAAGGCAAGCCAATAAATTCAAACTGGCCCAAATTTTGGGCAGCCCTTCACATGAGATCTAATTTCTTAAGGAGGCACACATAGCATTTTAGGGACAGGAGTGAGTTACCAGAGAGCCTTCAGGGTAGGAGTGAATTGTATTTTGTTTACAGTAGGAAAAATTGGAAAACTAGGGTGAGTTTTTCAGGGCAGCTAGGTGGCACAGAGGACTGAGCACTGGGCCTAGAATCAGGGACACCTGAGTTAAAATTCATCTTTAGACACTTAGTAGCTGTGTGACCATGGGCAAGTCACTTAACCCCATTTGCCTTAGTTTCCTCATGTGTAAAATGAGCTGGAGAAGGAAATGGCAAACCACTGCACTATCTCTGCCAAGAAAACTCCAAATGGGGTGATAAAGAGTCAGACACAACTGAAATGACTGAATAACAACAGTGTGAGTTTATGCTACTACTATTTCTCATTCTGACTTGGGGCTTTGGAAAGAACTTTCCAATGACATTCAGAGAGTTGTACTGAGAAAGAAAGAAGGGGGAGGGGAGGGGAGAGAGACAGAGAGAGAGAGAAGGGAGGGGAGAGAGAAAGGAGAGGAAGAGGAGAAAGAAGAGAGACTGAGAAAGGAGAGAGAGAGAAGGAGAGGAAGAGGAGAAAGAAGAGAGATTGAGAAAGGAGAGAGAGAGAGAGGAAGGAGAGGAAGAGGAGAAAGAAGAGAGATTGAGAAAGAGAGAGAGAGAGAGAGAGAGAGAGAGAGAGAGAGAGAGAGAGAGAGAGAGAGAGCGAGAGCGCTCTTTTCTTTTGTTCAGGGAGAGTGCATACATTTCATTGTGGCCACAACAAGAGGATAAACAAGTACAGAAGTTTACCCCTATGGTCTATTTGACAAACTGACCTCCAGGTCACAACCTGAGAGTTTATTGATCACTGGGGCCTTGTCTGGGTATAAGCATGTTTTCTGGACTTTGGTTGAAGCGACATTCCTGACTTCTGAAAGAGGAGTGGGTGTGGACTTCCAGCAGGAGTAGCCAGTGGGAAGGAAGTGATATTCATTAAGAGTGTTTCATGCAAGCAGTGCAGGGCTAAGCATGCTCAGTGTAAATTCTCCTGTAGCCTGTCAAGCTATGTTTGAACTCATTCCAGAATACTGGATTTACTTTTTTTTTTCCACAAGGAAGAATAATGCCTGATTAGTCTGCATTTTGCTTTCTTTCTTTCTTTCTTCTTCTTCTTCTTTTTTTTTTTTCGGTGTAGGGCACCAGAAGATTGGAAACAATATTCTTTTCTGATCAGTTCAGTAATACAATGTCCTTGAATGTTCATATGAGCATTTCAGTGGAGAAGAAAAGAAACTTTGCTACCTGAGAACTGAAGACTACTTAGGTCAGTAAATGCTAATAAAGTCTTTAAACAGCTAATGGAGGCAGGGGCTAACTTTTTTCATTTTAAAACTGTTAATTAAACTAGAAGGAATTCAGCCACATTTCCATCTAAGTGTATGTGTGTACAACAAATCCTTCCACCAAAAAAAAAAAATCCTCTATGCTGGATTAAATTTCCAGAACACAGACAAAATGTGTCTTTGGATAATTTGCATTTAAAAGCTTTCTTTCTTTCTTTCTTTCTTTCTTTCTTTCTTTCTTTCTTTCTTTCTTTCTTTCTTTCTCTCTCTCTCTCTCTCTCTCTCTCTCTCTCTCTCTCTCTCTCTCTCGCTCTCGCTCTCTCTTCCTTTCTCTCTTTCTTTCTCTCTTCCTCCATTAGGGTACTCCCTCCACCATAAATTGTGGATTTTTCTTTTTAATATTGTGGTAGGCTGATGTAACCATACTGATGTGAATGGAGAGGTGTTCTTTATTAGTTCTTGGCTTGGTGCTGGTTTGTTGAAAGTTACTATTTTTGGTGCTGCCACAGTTAGAAGAGGCATTTTTGTTGCTGGTAGTAGTGGTAATTTTTGCAACTTTCAGGGGCCTTTGGGGATGTATCAGTATTTGGTGAATAGGAGAAGCTTTTAATTCAGTTTTTAACAATATTAAGACTTAAGGAAATTCAGCTGCAAATTACAGAGCGAGGTACAGCTTTTATTGTTACCTTTGCAGCAGAACAGGCATAAAAAAGGCTAGGCCTGTGGAGACACTGGACTAAGAAAAGTCGTGCACAAGTCTTGCAAATGGAGAAAAAGGAAAGAAAGTTCATGGAGATAGGTGACTGCAACAGCACTTTTTTTTTTTACATTATATGTTTAGTCATGGTTGAAAGTTGTTAATTTTTTTTTAACTTTTGTTTGAAAGACTAGGTTTTACATTGCAGTTCTATAACATCATGTGGAAATAAATGTGTAAACCTAGATTGGTGAGATCCTGGCAGCTGAGTAAAAGTTAGCAAGGGTAGCCTCTTTAAAAAAAACAACAACCATAGGGAACTGAGGCTGTGAAATCATGTGGATGTGTCTATGATCAGAACATCCCAGGTTCTGGCATGATTTTATTCAAGAATTTTAAGAGCGGAAGGGGATTTATTTTCCTTCATAAATGAATAGCAAGGAGAAGGTTATTGATCTGTTAGGGATTAAATATTTGCTGGGATAAAAAGCATTGGGTCTTATCAGTGTGTAAATCAGACTGATGACTATTCAGAGAAGGAAAATGGAAATACTTCTGTTTCATAGGAAACCCAAAGGCCCTTGTTTCCTCCCTCCCCCCAGACTCCCAACCCCCTCCTCATCTTTGTGTTTCAGGATGGAGTGGTGGAGGTGAGGCCAGGCAGGAGTTAAGGCTGTGTTGATGCTCTCTTAACTTCAATCAGTCCATTCCGGTTGGGCTGCCAGAAGGGTCAAGAATCATAGGGGGAAAAACAGGGGGGAGCCCCAAAGGGGCAAACCTGGAGCTATGACCCTTTCCCCTTCCCTAGATGTGGCTTTGTATTTCAGCCATATAGCAGCCATGTTGGTGGAGGCATCAGCATCACCTCACTGGGCCCCTAGGCTTTTGAATTTGCTTCAGATTCCTTTCTTCTGCACCTGTCTTTGGTTTTTCAAGACTAAATGCTGCCCCTGGTTGGTCATTTTTTTTTTCAGCATAGATTCCCTAAGGGGTTAACCAAAGAAATACAGCTTTATTTCAGTTTTTCTACTCTAGCAAGTGGCCTAACTCTTGATATGTTGAACCAGAGAAAAAGAAATACCTCTTCTTCAGACTCAGAAGTCTTCTTACCCAGAGGCAGGGGATGAGTAAGATAACATCTTGAGGTTCCTAGTAATCAAGGTCTGGGCCAAGGGGCAGTATCACCTAATAACCTGTGTATGGAGCCCCAGGACTGGGAATGAAGGCAAGGAGCTATATGCTCTATGAATTTCTTTCCTTTCCCTTTTCACCACGCATGTCACCCTGATGTTCTCTGAGTTGGTCACCTACTGACCAAATTTCAAATATGGTAGCAGATGTGAAAAGAAGCAGAAAAGATGTAGGTAGCTAGGTCACTTCAGTCTCTCATCTAGATAAAGTCTGGATTTTGACAAGAGAGGGATAACAAAGAAAAAGAACCTTGCACCAAGTGTTCTTTATTATGTTGATAATAATACCTTGGATTTCTTTGTTTTCTTTTGTTTTGAAGACCTAAAGGACTGCCACATCTTCACATACATAGACCTTTAAAAATACTTTAGCATCAATTATGTAATTTAAGCCTAAAACATTTCTGTGTGAACTAGGTAGGGCTGGGATGACTATTGCCAATTGGTCAGATGAGAAAATTGATATTACATGATTTACCTTAAGTCATATAGTTAACAATTTAGTAAGAGGTTTAAAAAAGACAGGTTTTTTATTTACAAGGCAGTGTGGTATAATAGAAAGAGCACAAGACTCAAGAGTCTTCATTTCCAACTATGGTGCTTAGTTACAATGTGACTTTGAGCTGTTCACTTACAGGCTTTAAGACTCTGCTTTCTAATCTGTATAATGGGGAAAACAACACTAGGTAACAGATAACTTACTGAGTGCCCGTTGTGTGTAGAGCACAGGATACTGTTGGAGAACAATGACAAAAAAAAAATGAGAGCTAGGTTTCCAGACCTTGGGAAGCTTAAGGTCTAGTTGAAGAGGTAAAAGATAAGCATCTGTAATGACTTGCCTACACATAAATATAGCACACTGATGTAGTTTGGTTAGGCTGGGCCCCTTCTCCTAGAGGGAGTATGGGGAAGGGAGGGTATATAGAAAGAAAATGCTAAAATGACTGATGAGTGCATAAGTGCAGGTCCTAACCAGTGGAATTCAACCAACCCCTCTGTTTATACTTATAGGAAGCTAGGTGGTACAGTAAATAGAGAGATGGGCCTGGAATCAGGAAGACCTGAGTTCAAATCCCACTCCTTACACTAGCTGTGTGACCTTGGGCAAGTCACTTAACTTCCATTTGCCTCAGTCTCCTCAACTGTAAAATGGGGATAATAGCAGTATCTACCTCCCAGATTAGTTGTGAGGCTCAAATGACATAATAATTGTTAAGTGCTTAGCGTAGTGCCTGGCACAAAACAGACACTTTGATAAAGAGGAAGGATGGGAAAAAGCATTTGTTAAACGTTTCCTTCCCTGCCTTCCTTTCTTTCCTTTCTTCCTTTTCTTCCTTCTTTCCTTTCCTTTCCTTTCCTTCCTTCTCTTCTCTTTCCCTTTCCTTCCTCCCTCCCTCCCTCCCTCCCAGGTATCTGTTTGTCCTAGAGTAGTATTTATAAATTGGTGTTTATAGCTTAGCCTAGATTGGTATTTACAAAAGGCTTCTGTTCCCTTTTCTATCTCGTTGCAAAGCCCCCAGATGATAACCTCCTTGGGCAGTTTGGAACCAGCCTTTATTTCTAGGCCAGGTAGATTGACTGAGATTTTGAGGATGCTACTTCATTTCTCAGGAACAGAAACAACCAACCCAGAAACCCTGGTGTCAGTGAGGTGCTGGGGCACATACACCCTCAATATCCTTTGTCCCATAAAACCATATATTTAAATCAGCTGAATGCAGGACTCTGTCTCTGGGCCTTGAAATCCCAGATTTATTAATATATATATATACACAATGCAATAGTTCTAAATAATAACTGACATTTATATAGCTCCCTTCACACTTACAAAGTACTTTACATTGTCTCATTTGAACGTCACAATAACCTTGTGAGGTAGGCATTAGTATTCCCATTTTGAAGATGAGGAAAATAAGACTGAGAAAGTTTAAAATAGTTATTATATCCTTCCTAACTCTCCTCTTCATTGAACTAAACATCTCCACTCCTTTTGAGCACTATTCAGAGAATGTTTTTGTGTTCCCTCAATCATGGTGGTCACTCCCATTTGGATGCCCCTTTCCAACCCCTTCATCTTAATGTCCCTCTTAAAGTTTAATGCCCAGAACCAAACCCAATATTCCAGGAATGGCCTGACTTTGCAGAGTAAGGTGAGGTATTATATTTCTGTTAATTCAGCCTAAGGTTACATTTGTTTTTTTGGGCAGGTATATCACATTGATGGTTCAATAAACTCATAAGTCTTTTTCACATGAATTGCCATTTAGCCACATCTTTTTCATCTTACCCTTGTTCTCTTGATTTTTTGAACCTAAGTACAAGACTTTTCATTTAAACTTTACCTCATTAGATCTGGCCCATTTTTCTATTTTGTCCCATTTTTTTTGGATGCCAGTTCTGTCATTCAGTATGTTAGCTTTGTGTTGTTGGAAAATCTGAGACACATGCTATTTCATCATCTGAGTCATTGGTTAAAAATGTTGAACAGTAAAAGGAAGAGGATTGAACTCTAGGGTTCAACCTCCATGTTGGTGTTAATCCATTAATCAATACCTTTTGGGATTGATTGTTCAACCAGCTATGCATCAGACTAATTGTTATATACACAGTGGGTTCTAGATCAGTTATCTGTTGCAAGTATTTTTTTCCCCATTATACCCATGGGGAAACTGAGGGTCAGAGAGGTTAATGAACTGTCCTGAGAACCTTGTTAAAAATCCTTGTTGAAAATCAGATATACTGTAATTATGACATTTCTCTGAGCTACCAGTCCAGTCTTCGGTGATTACATCATCTGGAATTTTGGTGGTGTGGTAATCTCTCCAACAACAAAGCTCATACTCTTGCTTGGCCTTAACAGATCCTCTTTCTAACCTGCTATAGCTTAAAAAAATCATCTAGAGATCAGCCTTTGGGTGATGAATCTTTTGGAATTAAGGGAGGTTGGTTCTCAAACAGGCATGTGGTCATTTGCCATATAAACCCTTTCCAGCTGGGCAGAGCCTGCCAGAGCTTGTCCTTTGTTAGCAAAGCCCTTGAGAATGTGGCAGTAAGGCACTGGAGAAGGACTTCGGTCCAAAAACACAATCAAAAA